AGAGGCAGCAAGTATCTGGCAACAAAAGGAAGGAAAAGATTGAGCCATAGAAAGTTATAGGACTAACCAAATGTTTAATTAAGACAAAAGAAATCTTAGTAAGTTTGAAGGTGAAGAGAAAGATCACAGAGAAAGACTGAATTAGATGATAGATAAAGGGACTGGGGAACGAGGGCGCACAGAGAACTAATTGAGGACCAGTTGGAAGAAATGTTTTTAAAAAGATGAGTTCCAGAATAAAGAATAAGCATTTTTTCTTACTATATAATGCCCTTTGCTAAAAGAGTATTCATTCTCAATGACTTTATAAGGCCTTATATAAATGGCAGACCAGGCTTTAAGAACAAGACTAGGAGATTTTTATTTTAATCCAAAACTGCTTCAAAGTTTTACAAATCTATCTATTTGGCCAATTAACATGTGGCTTGTAACTTCAAAGACATTTGCCAATCATTTACACTTTAAATATCACATATTCAAAGAATATTCTGATTAGCATTCAATTTACAACTACTAATATGCTATTATAACAAATAAAAAAATCAGAATTTATTCTCTAGTATGTTATGTTTTGGTGGTTTTTTATATACTGTTCTTACTTGATGAGATATGGAAAATATAAGTGCTTAAATGAACATATTTATAACACATCATTCGAGGGTATCTTTTTTAATTTCTTAAAAACAAAACTAGTTTTGTTTCATATAACCAGTTTTCCTTTACTCCCTTTGAGAATCAAAGTTCCACAGAGACTGGTGAGGCATCTAAGGAGGTTCTAATTGTTAAGTACCCAAGATAATGAGCCACAATTTAAAAATACATACCTAGCCTTGTCTGGTTTGGCTCAGTGGATAGAGCATCGGCCTGCGGACCGAAAGGTCCCAGGTTTGATTCCAGTCAAGGGCAAGTACCTTGGTTGCGGGCACAGCCCCAGTGGGAGGTATGCAGGAGGCAGCTGATCGATGTTTCTCCCTCATCAATGTTTCTAACTCTCTATCCATCTACCTTCCTCTCTGTAAAAAATTAATAAAATATATTTTTTAAAAAATAAAATAAAAATAAAAATACATACCTAAAATTTGCCTATTTCAACTTAGAAACTTACTGTTGAATACCATAAAAGCAGGTTAAGGATAAAACTGATACATTCAGCTTTCTTGCTGTCCACCTTTGCAACTGCCATTTCCCTAATCAAGGAGGTAATCACTTTTAAAATTGGTTAAGAATGGTTCAACTTAGACCAGTGATGGCGAACCTTTTGAGCTCGGCGTGTCAGCATTTTGAAAAACCCTAACTTAACTCTGGTGCCATGTCACATATAGAAATTTTTTGATATTTGCAACCATAGTAAAACAAAGATTTATATTTTTGATATTTATTTTATATATTTAAATGCCATTTAACAAAGAAAAATCAACCAACAAAATGAGTTCGCGTGTCACCTCTGACACGCATGTCATAGGTTCGCCATCACTGACTTAGACCATAAATATTAGGTATAGGTGCAATCCCAGCAGGTTACAGGAATTTTATTTTACACACCTGGAAACAAGGACTTGAGCTCAAAATGTCAAGATGAGACAGTACCACTTCTTTTAACTGGGTCTAATGCGCCAAGTTGCTGAGCAATGCCCACCAAAATACAATAATACAGCCCGGCCAGTGTGACTAAGTGGTTGAGCACCAACCTATGAACCAGGAGGTCATAGTCTGATTCCCAGTTCTGATTCCCAGGTTGTGACTCCATCCCTAGTAAGGGACATGCAGGAGGCAGCTGATCAACTTAGACCAGTGATGTGTATGTGTGTGTCTCACTCCTTCTCTCTTTCTCTCTGAAATCAACATAAATATGTTTTAAATAATACAATAATACAGTGACTAGGAATACATTTCTGCTTTAATCACCAAGTATTCCAAGGCCAACCAAAACACCAATTCAAACATAAACAGAGTTGCCATCTTTAGACCTGCACATACTCATTAGCTCAGTATATACTGTCTTCAGCTATAATAAAAGGAAGCAACTTGATTCCCTCTGAACCCAACAAAACAAAGTCTATACAATATATCCAAAATGTAAAACTTTTAGAAATATTTGAAACATTTAAGACTCTTATACAAATAATTCTCACTATATGCAGAGCTTTTTCTCCCCCTCAGTAAAAATGTAAACTCTTGCCAGACCAGCATGGCTCAATGGTTGAGCGTTGACCTATGAACCAGGAGGTCACCGTCCAATTCCGGTCAGTGCACATGCCTGGGTTGGGGGCTCCATCCTCAGTATGGGATGTACAGGAGGCAGCCGAACAATGATTCTCTCTCATCTTTGATGTTTCTGTCTCTCTCTCCCTCTTTTCTTCTCTGAAATCAATATAAAAATAAAAAATTAATAATAGCATTTTTGCCCTGACCGGTTTGGCTCAGTGGATAGAGCGTCGGCCTGTGGACTGACGGGTCCTACGTTCGATTCCGGTCAAGGGCATGTACCTCGGTTGCGGGCACATCCCCAACAGGGTCTGTGCAGGAGGCAGCTGATCGATGTTTCTCTCTCATCGATGTTTATAACTTTCTATCCCTCTCCTTTCCTCTCTGTAAAAATCAATAAAATATATTTTTAAAATATTAATATTTTTAAATGTAAACTCTTCTCTCCTAACTATACTTAATGCATTATTTTTTTTAATCCTATGGGATAATCAGAAAAAAATATCCCTGATTGTCCAGCATTCAATACTTTTCATATTGAGGCTCTTGTTATTAGGTCTGCTACCTGACCTTGAGAAGTCAATCATTTAACCTCTCTCTGCCTGAGTTTTCTCACTTTCCCAACTCAAGGTAAACTCCAATTTGAATTAAATATTTATTACTTCTAAATAAATTAATGTATGTATGTACCTTATAGTAAACATTGAAAACCCTTATCCTTTTGCATCTCAAAGTCAGTGGGCTTTAACCTTGTAAGAGAAAAATATGAGAAATAAAGTTGTCCTATATATCTTTCTCTTAATTACAACATAAGGAATATATAAAAAATGCTTCTGTTTAAAACAGTTATGTCCTGAATTTTTAAGATGATGGTGAGTTTGATTCCACAATATTCACAACAAAGCAAACAACAAAGCCTAAGGTCTTTTAACACTGGGGACAAAAAGAAGAAAATATTTTCTTGCATTACTGACCATATAATGAAAATCATTCCTCTTTTGAAATTTAGAAAACTGTATTTTTCTTATGTAAGCCTAGAGATCAACAGGTAAGAAGTAAAGAAATAAAGTTTACAAATTGGAGACAAAATTTTAATTAAAAAAGAATTAGGAACAACTGTGGTGTGAATCCTTCAAATTCCCGAATCCAGATTATGCGGTCTACAAGGTTCAGCTTTGACCTTCTTCTGTGTGCCTTTTAAAAAATTACACAGAGAAAGTCTTTTCTATCAAGTTTTAAATCTAATGCTCTGTCAATAATATCCAATATATGTGGTAACATTTTGCTTCCTCAAATAGATTAGTAGTGCAGCTGGCTAGATGCTTTTTGGTCTGGAAGCAAAGGGATGGGTGAAGCAATTCCTTCAAGTCGCTGACAGCTTTGTAATTCTATTTTATCTATGTAGTTTCTTCTCAATTTCTTCTCTACTCCTCTGCCTATTCCCAAGTATCTTTTAGGTAGGTCAGAAACACTACGAGTCCTGTAAGGAAATGTTTACGGATCAAGTAAAAGTAGAACCCACCATTCATTCAGCTCCCATAATCAGTTTTATGACAAAATAGATTGATTCGATCCTAAACAGTTCCCTCATCACAGAAAGCTCGCGGTAGAACTGCAGCTGCAAAAAAATGCATCCCTTTAAACCATCCCCAACTACCTACAACAACACAAAGTTAAACGAATCCCCATTGACAAAAGGCTGCGTGTGCATTCATTCTGATCAGCCCTAGGGTTGACTGTGTGAAGCTCGGAAATAAAAAGGCACCTCCCCAAGCTATGAAAAAAAATTTTTTTTCCATCCCACATATTCTCAATGAAAGTTCTCTTGTCAACCAAGAGGTGAGAGTTAAAAACAATAACAAAACACTAGCAGAAGGACGGGCTCTAGGAGCACATCCCAGCCGTCTCTGCTCTCTGTTGTCAGTGGCTCAGCGGCAGTGTCCCCACTTTGCTGACACCCTTCTCCCCTGACTCCCCAAGAAGCTCTCTCAAGAAAGCCATCTTCACATCCTCAGACCGCTGGCAAAAATAAAAGGGAAGAGACTGCAATTACCAAGGAAGGGAAGACGGGAAAAACATTTCAGAAGCAGGAGGGATCGAGAGCCACGATTTCCCCTGCAAACAGCAATGGAAAAGCCAGTCTTGTCTCGGGAGGATATGGGGGGACGGCCGTGTGGGCATCAGCAACCATGCACTGGGTGCGCGCTGGGAGCTCGGGGCGGGCTGCGACGATGGGGCAGAGAGTAAGCAAACCTGCGCTCTCCCTGCTTTCTTCCACTCTTCCCCCTCCGAGAGAGGAAGCTGAAGAAACTGGGGGAGGGGTGGGGTGTTCTCCTCCTCCTACAGGGGGTACACACGCCGGGCCTTGGGGTGCCTTCAGCTGCTCACCCCCAGTTAGGAGGTCCACTGAGGGAAGAGGAAACCCCTCAATGTGAGCCACCTCCGTTCAAAAAAAAAAAAAGTAAGGGGGGAATGATTAAATCCAGATGGAGAGTCCCAGAAAGCGCCCCCAGGTCACTCATCCTCCTGGGCGAGCGGACGCGCTGGGATTACAGGGACGGAGGGTCCAAGGGGGGGCAGGAGAAGGCCCACTCCCCGACTCCGGGGAGAGGGAGCCCGAGCGCCCGGCGGCGCCCTCCGTCCCCGCACTTCCCCCTAGGCCACCCCACCGATCCCCCGTCCTTCCCTCCGGAGCCCGAGGTGGCCGCGGGGGAGGCGGCGGCTCCTTCCTCCCCCCGCTCGCTCGGTCCCCACCCCCACCCGGCGCCCACCTCCCGCCGCCGCGGGCCCGTTACCTGCTCGTCGAAGCGGCTGACCACGGCCTGGACCCATTCCACCGGCCTGTGCGCGGCCATGTCCTCCCCGCGGCCGGGGGGCGGCGGAGGGACGGGGCGGCCGGCGCCCAGGCCCGGGAAGAGGGCGGGGAGCGGGGGCTGAGGGGAGGGGAGCGGCGAGGAGAGGGGCTGAAGAGTGCGGGCTCCGAACGTTCCCACGGGGGTGGGGATGGGGGGCCCGCGCCGAGCCGGGAGGGGGAGAGGGGAAGGGGGCGTCGGCGAGGAGGCCGGGGGGAGGGGGGAGGGGGAGGGGGGCCCGGGGAGGGGAGGGGGCCTCCTGGTCGCTCTCCCCACTAGCGCCGTCTCCCCACAGCCATCACAGCCCGAGACGCCGCCATGACACCCCACCGGAAGTGGGATCCTTTCCACAGTCGGGGAGAGGGAGCAGCGGCGAGCTCGAGATTGAGAGCGCGGCTGGGAAAGGGGAGGGGGAAGCGGGCGGGAGGGGGGCCTGCGGCGCATGCGCCCGCGCCGGCCGGTTTCATTAATGAAAAAGCGAGTCCTCCTGGAGGTGACGTCACCGAACTCCTCCCGGCCCGGAGGCGCGCGTGCCCGACCGCCGCCGGGCTCACCTACACTCTGGCCCCGGGTTCAGCCGGAGAAAGTCTGAGCTGACCCGGGCGCCTCCGCTTCCGTCCCCAAGGCCACGCCAGGCTCCCCCTCCCCCGCCGGCCTCCGGGGTTGGATTGCTCCCCGTGTTGGAAGTTAGGGCGCCCTGGGGCTAAGATTTCGCCCCGTGTGCAGACCTCTGCCTCTGATGTGGGGAGGTTGTGCTGAGCCCCTCTCTGCCTTAAGCTCTCACAAAAATTAAGACACAACCTCAGGTTTCCAGGTCCTTCGTGGCTACTGTGAGAAACAGAAGCAAGTCCCAGAGAGAATCAGTGATTTTTTTTTTCTTAATGTAAATACTAGACCCAATGGCAAAGTACTCAAACTCCGGAATCCAAATGCAAACTTCCTCTGTTAGGCTGATAGGCACCCAAGTTAAGAACACTTTCACATGGTGGATACTAGAAAGATTCAAGTTTCACCACCCTCAAAAAGGAGTTAAGGGCTTCCACATACATAAATTCCACACATTCATCATCTCATTTAAATCTTTCAATGAGCCTTTCCAACAGGTATCAACCGCATCTAACTGATGAGGTTAGGCCACAATGATTTGCCAGAGATCACAGAGTTGATAGGTGGCAGAGTAAGGACGCAAACCCGGGTGGTTTGACTCCAAAGACAATAGGAACACACAGTGGCCCTACTGAAACGGAGGTGTTCCCTATGCCCCTGATACCAGAATTGACATGATTCCATGTGGAATTGGTCACAATGGTTTTCCAGGAAAAGGATTACATTCAAGACAATGGATGAGCTATCTATATCCAACATGAACTTTGGAATGAGTTATTTTTAAGTTTATCTTCCTCTATACTCTGAGGATAATGTTAAAACGAGTTTACACACTCTGAGCACATACTAATTAGTAGCTAGTTAGGCCACATAGAAGGATACTGAGTGAAAAAGCGGAGCAAAAATAGAATTTTAATTTGACCACAAAAAATCCACAAAGCTAACAGCCCATGTAGATATGTCCATGAGAGAAGTGTCCAATCTCTGCTGGCTGGTGATTGTCCAAAATATATATTAAATTAATTAACATTTCATTCCACTAGAATAGCAACTTTCAACCTTTTTCATCTCAATATATTTTGTGCTGACCTGACAAGAAAATAGGAAGAATTTTGATTCATTCACACTGGACAGATATTGTTGTGTTGGCTGTTGTCATTTTTTTTTTTTTTACTTTGACAATCTAAGGCAGCAGTTCTCAACCTGTGGGTCGCGACCATCGGAAAACACATATAGCATATCAGATATTTACATTACGATTCATAGCAGTAGCAAAATTACAGTTATGAAGTAGCAACGAAAATAATTTTATGGTTGGGGGTCACCACAACATGAGGAACTGTATTAAAGGGTCGCAGCATTAGGAAGGTTGAGAACCACTGAAGAGGTCAGTGCCCCTGACTAAATAGCCAGGTATTGCATGTTTTAAAAATTCTTGCAGCTCACTAGTTGAAAAGTCCTGCACTAGAACAAGAGGACAGGGTCTAAATAGTTCTTTAGTCCATTTTAAAAAGGCAGCATGAAGCCCTAGCTGGTTTGGCTCAGCGGATAGAGTGTGCACCTGGGGACTGAACGGTCCCAGGTTCAAATCCATTCAAGGGCATTCCATGCCCAGGTTGCGAGCTCAATCCCCAATACGGGGCATGCAGGAGGCAGCCAATCAATGATCTCTCATCATTGATGTTTCTCTTTCTTTCCCCCCTCTCCCTTCCTCTCTGAAATCAATAAAAATATATTTTAAAAATAAATAAATAAAAAAGGCAACATGAATACTACCCTATTTCTGAGGATGTCAGAAATGATGACAATGCTGAAGACAAGAATGAATATTAAATGAATGTTCTCTATGCCTTTCCCAAATAGGACTCCTGTAAAAACTCTCTTTCATACCCTCAGGGAGCAAACCAGTGCTGCTTCTTCCCTACTCAACTTCCAGACCCCAATCGCCCTTTCTTTTTCTCATATTTCATCTGAAAGTTCCTAATTACTTTCCTGTTGCCATGGCTTTTGCCTATTTCCTCATCTTCTTCCCTAGACTGGCTGCAGCTGCCCAAACCCTCAGCTCTTTGACTCTAGTGGTGTTTCATGGCTGAGGTCCCTCTGTGCTTCTTTTTCTTCTCCCTCTCTGGTTTCTTCCCTGATTCCCCCCATTCTGCTCTAAATTTAGAGTAAGACATCCTAACCTCAGGCCTCGGCCCTCTGCTCTTCTTGCTTTACTCAGGCTCCAGCCAGCACATCATTAATTCATACTAATCTGCACTTGCTGTCCTCCCTCCCCTAAGTGCCAAGCCTCTCATTACACTTAGAGGTCTAGACTTCATTCCAACTTCAGTTAAATTCGTTTGATTCGCCTGGCTGGCATAGCTCAGTGGTTGAGCCTCAACCTATGAATGAGGAGGTCACAGTTTGATTCTCAGTCAGGGCATATGCCTGGGTTGCAGGCTCAATTCCCAGTATAGGGTGTGCAGGAGGCAGCCGATCAGTGATTCTCTCCCGTCATTGATGTTTCTATTTCTCCCTCTCCCTTCCTCTCTGAAATCAATTAAAAATATATATATATTTTTATAAAATCGTTCAATTCCACTGAACTAATTGTTGGTGCCCAAACACCTAATATATATGTGTCATGCACTGTGTTAGGCAGTGCAGAACATAGCAGGAATTCTAACCAAAAATGCTAAAGAAGGTAATGCATAGCCGAAACCGGTTTGGCTCAGTGGATAGAGCGTCGGCCTGCGGACTGAAAGGTCCCAGGTTCGATTCCGGTCAAGGGCATGTACCTGGGTTGCGGGCATATCCCCAGTGGGAGATGTGCAGGAGGCAGCTGATCGATGTTTCTCTCTCATCGATGTTTCTAACTCTCTATCTCTCTCCCTTCCTCTCTGTAAAAAATCAATAAAATATATATATATATATAAAAGAAGGTAATGCATAGAGATCCTGGTGAACTAGGAGCACATCCTTCCATTTAAAGGGGCAACTGTCATGCAACTCCTCCATGCATTTACTGCCATGCAGGAATATTGACACAGTTTTGCTAGATCTTCCCAGTTACTGAAGAGAAACTGGCGATCTGAATGTATATATAAACTCTTTCCATTTTTACATAGTGGCAGCAAATTGACATTTTTAAAAAACACTGTGCAGCCAAACAAAATGCATTCGCTATCTGAATGTAGTCCATGGAGCACCAGTTTGACCACCTCTGATCTAGTGGAAAGACACAGGCTTCAGAGTAAATTGAGTTGGATTTGTATCCTAACATCCCCCATTCTGTACTGTCCAATACATAAGTATTCAGGGAAACTACTAGTGGTTGATGTAATTTTAAATGCATCTCGTTCATTCTCTCTTTTTTGGTCACACAACAATCTCTGGCAATTTATTCTACCCACTCCCCAAGCCTCCAGCATAACAAGGAGCACTCAGCTACTCAGGACTAAGGTATCCATTTCCCCAACTTCTGGGAATGTCAGTGGCCAACAGCTTTCAAATGAGTCCCTTTCTAAGAATTGTCCTCAGCAAGAGAACTACCTTGAGCCAGGTCACACCATGCTCCAGCAGCACAAGTGACTGGCAGATGCAAGGTTCCCTGAAGGGCTCTTCCTTAAGGGATCAGCCCCCAAGCGTACAACTGAGGCCTTTGCTGTGACTACATTTAGTCCAACTACTCTTCCTGCTCAGTCCTGTTCCTTTCACTCCCACACACAGCATTGATCCCAAGGGTGTTACCTAATAAAGTTTCCTGTTTGCAAATGTCCACCTCAGAGTTGGTTTTCCAGAGAATCTGAATTAAACCAATTAATCTCATGAGTGTGGTCTGATCCGTGGAGCTGAGTCACCTGCTGGCCAGCTGGTAGCAAGGCCCCAGGTGGAGCTCTGATAGGCTCTGGCATGCTGGAGCAGTACCACTGTGCAAACTTCTGGCAGCAGTGATGGATGGGTGGATGGGATGGAGTATTGGTACAAGAATGCACTGGTAGCCCTAGCCAGTTTGGCTCAGTGGATAGAGCGTTGGCCTGCAAACTGAAGGGTTATGGGTTCAATTCTGATCAAGGGTATGTACCTCGGTTGCAGGTTCGATCCCTGGAACAGTCTGGGCACATGCAGAAGGCAACCAATCGATGTGTCTCTCTCATATCGATGTTTCTCTCTCTGTGTCTCTCCCTCTTCATTCCATTCTCTCTAAAAATCAATGGAAAAATATCCTTGGTGAGGATTAACAAAAAAATTTTTTAAAAAAGAGAATGCTCTGGTAGATGCAATCTATCAGGCATTTTTTAAATATGAGGAAAATATAATTTAAGAACTATAGGACTGGGTAGCTATTGGTGGAGTAAATCTGTGCTTTGAGGAAAGACAATGAAAAGTTGAGGGTGATGAGTCACCAATTAAAAATTAGAGTGCCTCCGTAGCAGCATATATAAATGGGGGCCAAAAAAACTGAGGATCAGGCCCAGGACTTAATTATAAGAGTAGTAGAATTCCAAAAA